TGGACATAGTCATGGCCTGACTAGAGTGTGCACTCCATATCGCCAGATAAGCGCAATAGACACTATGCCGGCTCCTTTGCACAGGTCACACCACTGCCAGATGGTAGAATGACAGGGTTGTTGGCAAACGTGGGTGCCTAAGTGAACTTCAGAGCCAGAAAGTAGCGAGCAGCAAAGTCATGAAGAGTATGGTGTGGTTGCCACAGAGACAGGATGATGAAGACTATGCGAAGAAGCTCGTAGAGACCCTTGATCAGATGAGTGTGGTGCCCATGATGCATTGCCCAGATTCTTCACAAGGTTCACCATTTTCTGAGGTGCAAAGTAGGTTGCATGTTTTGTGTAGAATGCTTCGCATGCGAGAATTGTATAACTTGATACTTCAAGCAGCCACACGGTCTTAGAAGAATGAATGTCCCAAGTCCCAACAAAATGTGTCCCGAGACGCAGATTGGCAGTCAAACTGTGGCAGTAATTTTCTCAATGCAAGTAATAGGCTTAGTAATAGCTTGGAATGCCATTTGTGCTGTGCTTTCTGAAACATGCATACTTTCACATTGCACATGCTCAAAGGCGCAGAACAGCGACTCGACATGGCCAAAGCTGCAAGAGAAGCAGTGCGTCAAGCTCCAAGAACGCTTTAACAAGTGCAGTGTAAACTTGTCTTTCTCGTAGAGCCAAAGGTTGAGGGTTGAAGGCCAGACAAGACTGTATGCTGCAGCATGTTCTTCTCCCGCCAAGGTGATCGGTTTTCCCAAGAGGCATTTGAGGAAACTGTTGCTGAACGCCTGGGGCTGGAAATCATGGTCTCTTGCAGAATGGACCAAGAGCACTGTTTTCCGCTGTCTCAAGGCCTTGTCCTTCCGTTGCGAAGGACAGCTCCCTCAAAGCACAGTTGACATACCGAGAAAAGAGTTGAGACATGGTGTGAAGAGGGACAGTGACGGGTCTTGTTGGCTTGAAAGGCAGACCAGTAGAGGCATCAAAGACTGGAATAGAGTCGCTAATAGTACAGGTTGACGTGCTCTTGCTGGGCCGTTGATTCGCATTGGGTTGCTTGAAACTCACAGTAGTGCGACAGACAGAGGTTTTCCCAAATATATATATATATATATATACTGTAAAGGTTTGTCAATACTTTGTATGCAGCTACAGTACCGGTCTTCTGGACAAAAAAGAAGAGGAGTGAACACCACCAGGTTCTCTGGGGCAGAAGTTTGCTCCCCTTGCTGCAGTAGCCTCAAGGTCTGAAGGGTCTTGGAGGGAGGATCAATTTTGTTTGAGTAATGTAGGGTCTTGATCTGTAAACACACCCCTAGCAAACGATTGAGGGGTTTGAATCATACGACTCCCACCTAAACAGCGAGTCAGGCCTGGTACTATTCCTAGTAGCAGTCCTACCAGTAGTACTAGTGGTGGTACTCGTAGTAGTACTAGTACTAGTAGTAGTAGTAGTAGTAGGAGTAGCGGCAGCAGTAGTCGTCGTCGTCGTCGTAGTAGTAGTAGTAGTAGTAGGAGTGGGAGTGGTAGTAGTAGTAGGAGGAGGAGGAGTAGTAGTAGTAGTGGTGGAAGCAGCAGTGGCAGCAGTAGTGGTAGGAGCAGTGGGAGCAGCAGCAGCAGGAGGAGGAAGAGGAGTAGGAGTAGGAGTGGGAGTAGGAGTAGGAGCAGTAGTAGTAGTGGTAGTAGTAGTAGTACTAGTAGTAGCAGTAGTAGTAGCAGTAGTAGTCGTAGTGGTAGTGGTAGTGGTAGTGGTAGTGGTCGTAGTCATAGTGGTAGCAGTAGCAGTAGCAGTAGCAGTAGAAGTAGAACTAGTAGTAGAAGAAGAAGAAGTAGTAGTAGTAGTAGTCGTAGTAGTCGTAGTCGTAGTGGTAGTGGTGGTGGTGGTGGTGGTGGTGGTGGTGGTGGTATTGGTAGTGGTGGTAGTGGTGGTAGTGGTGGTAGTGGTAGTAGTGGTGGTAGTGGTGGTCGTGGTGGTGGTGGTCGTGGTGGTGGTGGTGGTCGTCGTCGTGGTGGTGGTCGTCGTCGTGGTGGTGGTCGTCGTGGTGGTGGTGGTCGTCGTGGTGGTGGTGGTGGTGGTCGTCGTCGTCGTGGTGGTGGTGGTTGTGGTGGTGGTAGTGGTAGTGGTAGTTGTAGTGGTAGGGGCAGGAGGAGTAGTAGTAGCAGCAGTAGTAAGTAGCAGCAGTAGTAGTAGTAGCAGTAGTAATAGGAGTAGGAGTAGGAGTAGGAGTAGTAGGAGTAGTAGCAGTAGTACGAGTAGTAGGAGTAGTAGCAGTAGTAGTAGTAGCAGTAGGAGTAGTAGCAGTAGGAGTAGTAGTAGTAGTAGTAGTAGTCTTGGTGGTGGTGGTGGTGGTGGTGGTAGAGTAGCAATAGCAGTAGTAGTAATAATAGTAGTAGTAGTTGTTGTTTTAGTTTGAGCTCCGCTATCGTGGCATGTTTTCATCCGCAGATGGGCTCAGCTTGCGGTGGTGTTTGTCTAGATGGTACCACCTATCATGTCCAGTGGCTGAGTTGCAGGCTGCGAGTTGGGCAACGGTTGCAATGGACATGGGCATCCACGAAGCGATGGACATGTGACATGTGTGGATTTTAGGAGGTTGAACCATCATAGTGGATGGCTCACATAGACATACACATAGGGGGTGTAAAGAAACCAACTCATAGCCTCCCCAAGCATACGCATTTGTATTTGGATTGCATGAAAGTGGCCAAATGTGGTAGGCATCGGGTATGTTGAAATGGTTTTTGCATGTTTTTGCTATTTAGTATGTCTTCGAACCTTCTTAGTAAAAATACAGCTTTCCAAGAACTAGAAGCTTCCTTGGAATCGTTGCACCTGTAGTAACAAGAAACTTTTAGTATGTCTTTGAAGCTTCTTAGCAACAAGAAACTACTAGGTTGGAGGCCATTACTACTGGTAACAATAACGCTTTTAGTATGTTTTTGACGCTTCTAGTACCATGTTGGACGAGCCAGGCTTTGAGTCGTCATGGCCCCTCGCTCAAATTCTCCCTTCGCATCTCCGCGACCATTGCGTTCCCCTCGCACCGCAGAGAAGGCACCTTGCCCACACTATCACTTCCAGTCTAAGAGTCATTTGTTTGTGGAGTGGATATTTTTTGTTTCTCAACAATGATCAAATGCAGAGACAAATATGCTGTGAAAAGGCCTAGACGTGGCTTCAGATGATACACTCAATTTTTACGCGCACATGTAATTTCTTTTGTCAAAACTGCAGCAAAGATCTGTATTTCCCATCAGTACCATAAAGGGGTGTTTTTTCTTTTCCAGACGGAAAGGTTGTCAAGCGCAACATCTCCTTGTGTGACTTGGCGGATGCCATGCCCTTGGTGCTGGAAGTAACCTGATGCTTTACAACTGTTGCCTCAGTGTTCTACAACGTTTCATACGGGCCCAGGATGTCACGCGTGAGCCAGACTTCCTGGACGAGAGCAGGGAGCGGCTTAGCTTGCAGGTGGGGAACGTGTGAACCACCAGCAGCAGTCAAGCTACCACATTTTTGGGGCAGCATAGCCATAGGAACAAGAAGCTACTAGGGGCTCCTGGCCTTACTACTAGGAGCAAGGACGCTACTAGGGGCTCCTGGCATTGCTAGTAGGAACAAGAATAAGCTACAGCGAGGGAGGGTGGGAGAAGCTTCATCGAAGAACCTTGCATTCCGTTGCGACGGGTCCGGGCCCAATGGGATCTCTTCTCAGACTCTTGAAGGCCACAGGTCTACTGAACGAAGCGGAGGAAGCAATCGATGAAGAGGCATTTCAGGCCCGGGATTTGTCTTTGATTCTTGCATTTCATGTACGATCCATTGTTGGCTGTCCTTGCCAAGGCAGCTGAAAGGGTCAGGGTCTGAGAGCTAGCACAGACTTGTCGGGTAAGTGGCGAAATAAGGACCCGAAACGAGCTCCTGAGGCTGCCTCAGATGCCTTGCATTTGTTTCGGGAGATTGGCGACAGGCTTGCGAACGGCTTGAGTTTGGAAAAGGCAGCTGTGGGAAACAAAGTGTTCCAATGGCATATCAAGTTTGCCCAGCTGTGGCTGTGGCAGATGGAAATGGTTCACACCATTATCCACGCTGATTGACATAATTACTTTATTGCATCTTGTGTTGCACGCAGGGGGGGCATTGCCAGATCATTGAGATGCATCATCAGCGCCTATCAGGACCATGGCAGTGACGGCAGCAGTGAAATCCATTCTTGTTTGGCAAGAAGAGATTTCCATCTCCAGTTTAGACCAGTTGAGCCAGGGTCGGGAAGAGTTGGAAGCAGCCTACATTCGAGCTTCTGAGGACTGCCTACACAAGAGTCCAACACTACCAAAGACATGTCGATGTTGCCACTAATGGCACGCCTATATATATATATAAGCTTTGGCTGTAGCTTCCTTTTTGGCAGCTCACAAGTCACAAGTAGAGCATGCATGGATGGCTTGACAGCGATTGGGGGAGATTCTGGGTTTGGATGACATATGGCAAATCTTGTGCATTCGCAGCTTGAAACTCAGTATATACAGGTGGAAAGCCATTTCCATTGCGACCATAGCTCATGGTAAGACGCTGCGGCCTTCTGACCTTCGCCATCCTGGCAGTCTTCGCCATCTTTACCAAAGAGAGCTGGCTGAACTTCACAGGTCAGCCCGCCGAAGCTACACGGGGAGCCCACCTGCTGCGACGAGCGCAAGGCGCTGAAGGTGGCTATAGCTATGACCCTTTGACGTGGGCATTGGACATCACAGTTCCAGATGAACAGACCAAACAGGCAAGGCCGTTTGGTGACTTACAGTAACTATATATGTATATATAGTTCTTGGAAATGGTCAGCATAATTTTTGAGCAACTGAACTGTTTTTGCTATATAAATATAGTATAATCCTTTTATTCCTGATTATTGGCAACAGCTGCATTATGCAAGCTACCACCATCAAGACCTTGGAGCCTTCGTCCAAAGATCATTCTTGACACAACTTTAATCGATATGAATCGAATGCTTTTTCAAACGCATATAACCCCGACGACGCAAACCACGTTGGAGGCGGTTGAACTTTGCGACTTGAATGCCATTTGGCCCTCTGCTGCTGGCAGCCTTGACCGCGAGGATTTCAGACAGCGAATGCGAGGAAGAGGGGCCACAAGCGATCGTGCCATCGACTCTGTCTTCAATGCTTTTACTGGTGGCACATATTTGATAACCAGGCTGGGATGAACAAGTCCTTCACATTGAATCTGCTTGGAACAATAGATGCTGTAAGCTGCTTGTGCAAGCTTCTTGTGCAGGCGGGACGAAGCACAAGAGCTACTGCAAGCATGTCGTGCTGGCGGCAAGGCAGAGACTGGACCATTAGGGCCTGGCCTTCTCAGTGCGCGACTGCAGATCATTGGTGCTTGGCTCTTTCTATATGTTTTCTCAGTTTTTGCATCATATTTCATCATTGGGCGGCCGCTGCTCTACCAATTTGGGATTGATTTGTTGCCCACCGTCCCAAGATTTTGGGAAAATTAGCTTTGTACAGCATCAACCATCGATTTGATGCTTGCACAGCTCAAAAAAGTCGTTGGCTGGACTTTAATGGCTAGGCTGAGTGTGCTGTGGCACAGAAGACTTTCTAGATCATCCTTCAATGCTTTCAGTTTGCGAGGAGCTGGAGAGGTGCCGCAACAATGGCAACAAACTTGGAGAGGCAGGATTGCCATTCCGAGCAGCGTGCACGTTTTTGCTCCACGCATCTTGGAGGCTGCAATGATGATGTCCTTGGTTGAGCTCAAGATGCTTCAAGCAGTGAAGCCAAAGGAGGTACAGTTGCAGACAAGGGCATGAGGTTTGGGTTACTGTGTTTATACATAGTTATATATATATATCTATATAATTGTCCGATGAAGTCTGGAAAACATGAAGAGCTTTGGCTTTGTAGATGCCAGACATTGTCGGGAATATCCGCAGTTCACGAGGTTGACCGGTCTGCAGGTGATTTCCATGGCCAAAGCTGCCCTGGCATTGGACAGGGCCTCAAGACTGCCACAGACGGACAGATCCACATTTGCCCTTGATGCCTGGCCGCTCACTTGAAACTTGTGGGTAGACCAAGTTGCTCAGGTACAGCCACTTCACAATAAGCCCCTGAAGGCGAGAAGCAACTGTGCAGCTATGTGACATGAGAAGCTCCCGCTTTGCAAAAGCACGTTCGGCCTTATGACAATGAATGAGTGATGCAACGTGCAAACCTGAATTGTTCCAGGCCCATGGACTTGTAACCCTGGCCGTGCCCTCAAAAAGCTATTCGAAAGCTCTTTGCAAACTCTCTTTTCTGTGCTGCGTGTGACCTATCCACCCTCGGTTGAGCATCAATGGATGTAAACTATTGCTTTTGGCAACTTGGACTTCAGCGGGGGCTTGTGGCAGGTAGTGGAAACACACCGTGAAATGATTACCATTCGTACGTTTCAGAATTGGGACTCATTCAGGCAAGTGCCCACAAGAGAGCAATTGATGCAGGAACCTGGCTTCATTTTGACATTGACGCGGAAGTTCCAAGGCCCAGAGCTACGAGCATGCGCAGAAAGGCGATCACATGATGCGCGCAGCCCGTGCCGCTGTGGAGGCTGCTGCACAATTGGTTAGAGGGTAGAGCAGCAGACGGATGAAAGCTACACCACCATTTCCAACGAAAGTTCATCTCGCAAGAACCAATGTCTCAATCCTCAAATCTGTGAAAGGCCTATCGGCAGTTGGCTGACAAAAGAGGTGAAGCCAAGGCGCCTGAAACAAGGGGTTGCACAAGCCTACACAAAGCATCAAACTTCTTTGTATATCACTGAATCCCCTAGCAGCCTGCACGACTCGAGCTTGGAGTAAGAAAGTGTTGCTTCTACAGTTTGCACAGGCTCTGCACTTTGTGGCAGCTGCTGCTGGTCTCAACAATGACTTGAATGAGGCAGGAACGGGACACCTCTGATTCCAAATGACCTCGCTCTATTTCAGAAAGTGCAAGCATTTGGTTTCTTATTTTGTTTGATGCAGGCTGTGCGAAGCTCCAGCCAGGCGAACGCCTCCGCGCGCCTCGCGTGATAGACAGTTCGAAGGATTGAAGCAACACAAGCCCCTCTTTGGGGGGTGGATCCGACGCTGCTTTGCCTATGCTTGACTCTGTGTCTGAAGGCCTGTGCCTTGTACCATGAGCTCCAACTGCATGCTTTAGAGGCACCTGCGGGGCACTTGTCAGTTTCTTGACTTGTGCAGTTAAGGCTGTCCTTGAAATCGACTGAACCAACAAACGACCCTTGCGCGGCCGTTTTGGCTTTCTGAGGCTTTTGGCAACCTTGACTCAGATAACTCGACACTTACATGACATGACTTCTGTTTGGGGTGCCCCTCTATATCCTTACAGGTGTTTAACCAATCGAAAACGCTAGGACCAAGTAGCAAAATGCGAAAGCAACCACCCCAGTGAACAGGGTTTCCAAGAAAGCGGCACAAGCAAAAGCGAAGCAATGCAAAGCTGTTTTGCATACTCGAGTGACGTCACCTGCGGTCGACCGTTTCTAAGCTCGGTACAGCGATCTGTGCAATGCTAATGCAAAAAGACTGAAAGTTTCACATCCCAAAAGGAAGTTGTTGCACAGATCGGGCTCGGGCAGCTCTTCGTTCACGCTGCCCCTTTCGAATTGCCGAACAGCGTTCTTCTTCCTTAAGATCCGCCTCCGTTGAAATCAAACAAATCCGACCGTCTCGCTTCAGCGCTTTCAAAAGAACATCCTTCATGTTTTTCGTGAGGCTATCTGCCAGTTGTTTAAATGTCGGCACCCACCTCAAAATCAACAGCTTCTGTTCAATCATCTGCTTACACATCAAAAGATCAATGGCTGTTTGCCTTTCCTGAGCCAGATGGCCGGTGGCACCACAGTGATCGTACAGTGCCTTAGCATCGGTCACCAGAATTCCTGGCACTCGCAGGCGTTCACGCCATTGTGCACTGACCTCGATCGTTCCGAACCTGAGAGCCTCATACAAAAGTCTGTTAAACAATTGATGGTCGGCTCCCCTGGTCAAAGCACAACTCTCGGCGGCCATGCTACTGCGAACAACACGAGCAATCTTGTTGGAATGGAATTCCAAAACATTCGAATTGCGACTGGTGCTCAAAACTTCTCCATCTGTCAGGAGATGAAGTTCTCCTGATTGTGCAGTTCCATCTTTCTTGCCTAAAGCTGCGTCGAAGTAGGTGACAAAAACTGGTTCACCTGACAGTTCACGAAAGGTCAACTGTGCTTCACCTGCCCGTGCTGCATCATGCATCTCCTTCAACAAAAGATTGGCTTCCTTGGCATCTGATGCCACTGCAGTAGAGACACGTTGGGCCAAAAAGGAAATCCTGAACATGTATTCAGGAAACACATGTTGAGCAGGCCATCTCATCTTCATGATCAACTGTCGGAAGGCGGTGAGTTCTTTTCCAACCAAACGATGGTTGGAATCTGGTGGAACCGTCATGGGCTCAATCTTCAAGACGTATTCCGACATATCATCAATGATGACATTCTTCTTGACATCGTGCTTCACCTTCATACCCAGATAGCTCACACCTTTCTCATCCACAGCCTCCCAAGCCTTGATGTTGAAGACCTTATCAATCCCTTTTCTCAATGCCTCAAACTTCGGGTTTCTGGGGTCACCGGTAAGGAAACCATCGTCTACATGTAGACCACACAAGGCAAAAACGCCGTCACTGTCCTTGGCTATGAATGTGCTCCGACAAAAGGGGACTTCCTGCATACCCACTTCAGTCAGAAGCTCAACGGCACGAAGATACCATAGTCTTGGAGCCTCTGCCAACCCGTAGGCTGACTTGACCACACGCATCAACTCAAGCGGACGAACGGCCTCGGAAGTGGCCGTGGCTGGCAAACCCTCGGGAGGTGCACGAACGTACACCAAGCGGTCCGTATGGCGGCCACTTAAGAATGCTGTTGCCACATCGAACACCCAACAACTCCAGTGCAAGGTCACACAGAGACTCTTCATCAGTCTCACAGCCGTGGGAGTGGTTGTAGGGCTATCGGTGCGATACTCCCCAATGGCTGGGTCAGTGTGACCCGGAATCACAATCCGACTCTTGGCCTGGAGAATCTTGGGATCCTTTGATTTATTTACTCGAACGACCCTTAATGGCACCCGAAAAATCTGAGATCTCGGAACCGCTGCTGACTCTTCTGGGGTTAATCTCTTGATCACACCATTCTTCAACCATGCTTCCCATTCAACCAAATCGGAGTCCTGAAATTTCTTTGCTTCCTCTTCGTTGAACCATCTTGGGTCCAGCTCCTTTCCGGAAGCTTTCAACTTTAAAAGAAGCACTTCCTTGTAGACTTGCCAGTCTTCTTCTTTCTCTACCAACTCCGCCCAGAGCTTCACATCTTCTTTGCTTCTGAGCGAAACCTCATACACCTCATCTTCTTCAATCTGCACATATGCACTCTTCATTTCACTTTCTGCTTGTTTCTCTTCTACGGCCTTCATGTCATTTTCTGGTTTCACAAAAACTGTCATGCCCCTCCATGGTGCAGAACAGCGCTTTCGAGGCCGTTGCATGTCCTGAACTGACTCATCCACCAACATCGCCTGTCCAGGCTCTTCAAGTAACATCATAGTGATGCGTCTTCTTTTCTTCCCCTCTGGAACCTTTTGCAGCTGTTTCCTTGGAGCACGATGAAGTCTTGCTGCACTCACCGGCAGGTCGAGAAGCCGTCCCAGCTGCCGAACCTCACTTCGAGGCAACCATTGATTCTGGGCTGACTTTTGGTTTTTGAGAGGCGCCACCTTGTTCTTCAGACGACCTGTCATCTCCTGTTCTGAGACCATCACCTCCATCTGTTGAAAGAGGTTTCTAGGCACCTTTAGCTCTCGTTCCAGCATTGGTTCCTCTGGGCTCTTCCGCTTCAGACACAGGGGAACATCATCCAAGAGCTTCTTCCTTCTTACTTCGTTCTCTCTCATTCTTTCTTCATCTTCCTTCTTGTAAGCTTCTTCTTGCGCGGCCACTTCCTTCCAAAAGGGTTCATCATCTTCCTCAGCTTCTGGCCCCGGCGCTATGGTGGGAGTATACTCCTCATCATCGATCTCTGAGATGACTTTCTCTTGTGGCACTTCTCTCTTTTTCACCTGGTGCTTTCTTCTTGGGATTGGTTTGCTTCTGCGGGTCTTTCCAATCTTGCTCAACACCAGCTTTTTCACACTCTTCAGTCCCTTCATCATCTGGACTGCCTCTCTCTTGCTCCGGCCATTCTTCTTACCGAAACGGAGAAGTCCTTCTTGCGCCTCCCAACTCTTATCTTCTTCTCTTTCAGGAAGTTCCTTGCACACTTCGCTCATGTCCTCGAAAGTCTGGCTCCCTTCTTGCCATTTGTCTTCCAACTCCCGGAGCTCTTCCATATTGACCTCAGAGTTTTCTTCAATCGTTGAGCCTCTCAGATTCGCAGCTGCTAACAACAAGCACCTGCCTCGCCATGAGACAAAATATTTCTCATGAGACTCCTTCACGATGATCATCGCTGGTCCTCGCCATTCTCCAGGATCATGTCGATATCTCCCTTTTCTCACGCGAGGCACCCAAAAGAAAACTTTCTCACCGGGCAAAAACTCTCGAATTTGGCCTCCTGGTTTCCGACTCAGAGCTCGCTTGAGCTTGTCTTGAGCTTCCTGGTGAAGGAGTGAACGTTTTGCTAATGCTCTCATCTCAGCCTGTCGTGCCACCTCTGTCTCTGTGCTAAGTGCCTGACCGAGTGTCGTAGCTGACACAGGATCGTCGTCAAGTAGGTCAGGCAAGAGGTTTTGCCGCCCAAAAACAAGGGTATTGGCACAATAGCCTCTACGAGTGACGACCTGGTTCTTGGCCTGAACCGCACAAGCTAGAGTCATCTTCATCCCTTCGCGGTCAGTCACCTCATGCTCGAAAATCAAAGCTCCCCATGCGATGCCCAAAAGAGCACCGTGGCGCTCAGCGTGTCCCAGCTGCCAGGCTGCATGGGAGCCAGTGAACTTGGTTCCAATGGCATGCTGTTCAAGCAGAAGAATGAACTCTGCTTCCCATTCGCCTCCTTGGTCTAAAGTGAGTTGATTGGGAACGCCGAACATCCCAATCCATTTCACCAAAAATTTTCTTGCTACGTGAGGAGGGTTGCGACTTCTCAGCAGTGTGGCTTGGTGATAGTTTGTGGCTAGGTCAATCATACTCAAGGCCACGTACTTTTGGTCCTTGCAATCCTTCACGAACTTGAGGTCGATTGCCACCGTATCATTGAATACGGTTGGCCTCAAATCACTTCTTTGGCTCATTGGTCTTCGTGGAATTGGTGCCGAGCCACAGGTGTCACACTTCAACATGGCAGCTTCATCGACCAACCACTTGGTCTGCGCCTGCCAATCTCAACATTCTTGAGAGGACCTCATTTGAAGGGTGGCCAAGACGCCGGTGCAACATGTGCAGTTGGTCATTTTTCCTTAGCTTCATCTCTTCTTCCTTCGTTTGTGCTTCAAGCTCTTGATCTTCCAGCATTTCATCTTCTTGTACTTCAAAACGTTCTTCTGGAATGTCTTCTTCCTGCACGTAAACTTCTTGCTTTCTACCTCTTTGTAGGTATTCTTCTGCTCCTTGGATGACCTTCTCTGCAAATTTCTTGGTGTATCCTCCGGCAAAATCGGAGAGAGGCTTCCATCGTCCATCAATCTTCACACCTCCTAGCACAGGTGTGTGTTGGTGCCCTCCTTGGCACTTGGCATCACATCGGTCGAGGATCTCCTCGGTTCCTCGCAAACGAGTCCTTTTCCTCAAAAACAGAGGCTGACCCTCTGGAGTGTGCTCGTGCGGCTTCTTCAGACCGTAGCAACACATGTCTGTGACTACTTCAGGCATCCCTTCGAAGGCTTCAACAATTGCAGGTTCCTGCCATGCCCGAGAAGTGGCAGGATTTTCTCCCAGTAGGGCGCCACCCCTCCTTCTCTGGTCTCTTGCCGCCTTTCGCACAAACTTCAAAAGTTTTCGAGCTCTTTGTCTTCTCACTCCCAATCGCCTCCAAGCTTCAGCATCCTTGCGACCATATTCATTGAGCATTGACCACTCAGTACATGGCCAGGCGATCACCAGCAGATCTGGATCTGCCCTTGCAAGGTATTGGTGCGCTTCGACCTGGTGATCATCTCGCTGTAGGTCCCAGGAGGGGAGACTGATGGGTTCCCACATCTCCCATCGACCGGTCTGGACCGCACACAAGGAAATCATGCAAGTCCAAGTGAACAGTTCAATGACCCTCCATGGTCCCTTCTTACTCCTCCATCGTGCTGGGAGACTTTCACAGGCTTTCTTTGGTTTCCGGTCCTTCTCCTTAAGTCCTTGAATCTCCTTGAGCTCACGCACATTGTGGCGCATCTGGCTTCTTTGATGCTTGCTCAAATGTCGGACAACCCCTTTCTCCACAAAAACTGGTTTGGCGTCTTCATCTTCGCTTTCTTCTTCAGATTCTTCGTCATTGATCATCACACCAAACTCATGAGAGGTCTCTGACTCTTGCTCACTTTGGGGTTCCTCAATCATCTCCCATTCACTGCCTTCTGGCGAATCATCGTCTTCTTGGCGCTCTTGCAGAGGCATGTACTTCAGGTCTTCTTCCAACCTCGTCAAAGCTCGAACCAATCTTCCATCATCCTTCTGTTCTTCTACCTCTGTTTCATCTGCAGATTCCTCCGACCTAGGTTCTTCATCATCCTCTTCACTGCTTGCCTCGCTGATGTCTTCTGCCTTGAATGCCCAGGAGTGAGGCGCTCGCTGGAGTAGCTTGCAGGTGTCTTGGACTTCTGTTGCATCCCAAAAGGAAGTTGTTTCTCCAAAGTCAAGCAAGCAGATAGCTGGATGTCGTGTTTCATTCAAGATCATTGGCTTCCAGCTTCCTTTGATTTGTAACCTCTTGGTCGCAAAATCCATCACAATGCCCCAACGGGCCATTTCTGAGGGACCCACCAGCCCTGGACAATTGGCAGCTCCACCTCCAACGCAAGACATTCGAATCAGATCATGCTTGCCATGCAGTCGAACTGGGTAGATGAAGGCTTTCGTGCTTTCTTCTGGTCCTCCGGAGCCAAACTGAAACCTTTCTTCTTCGGGTTCTTCCAACCATGTCAAACCCAAGGAACGCAGCTGTTGCTGAAAACTCTCATGCCACTGCCTTCCGGCTACCGCCGTACGACACCCGGAGTCCATGATAGCCATTCCCGGCGTCAAAGTCAGGAACACACCGCTTGCCGGTTCAGGTTCTGGTGCGATGGGATGATGCACCATCCAGGCTCCGTGGCGTTCGGAGAAGTAGATCACATGTTTCATACCGCACTCCTTGCACGTGGCATAGTGCCCGTCACCGTTTGAAGACGACCTCAATCTTTCAAAGGGATGCTTGCAGCGAACTTGGGCCTCAGTGGGAGTGGGTGCACATGAAGACGGCTTGAGTCCATGCCTGGTCATCTGCTTCTCGTACAGTTCCAGTCGGAACTGGGCCAACTTCTTGTCCTTGACTGCCTTCGGCATGGTCTTATTTCTAACTTCTTCCATGTAGTTGCCATGCTGCAGCTCCTTCTTCGGTGTCCCCATCTTCGGCACTATGGGCGTCTGGTAGCCTCCTGAAGCTGAGGCCGTTGGATCATGCTCATCTTCACTGGACTCATACTCAGGCAGCAAATGACTCCTTCGCAGGCTCTCATAGGCCTGCTCCCGCTCCTCTCTCTGCAAAATCTTCTGGATTTCCTTCTTCTCATCTCTAGTCATCTTTGGAAGAGCGGCCATAACTTCTTGCGGACTAGCCTTGACCTTCTCTTTGGTCTTCTTGACGGCTTCATAACCTGCTGCCTCCTTCAGGAGCCCCTTTCGGAGGTGATACATCTTCGGTTTCTCTTCATGCCGACTGGACTCTGAGCTTGGGACTTGTTCGTCCTCCTCATCCTCATGGCTCACCACTGTCCATCCTCGCTTCCCTTCTGGCATTCGTTCATCATGGCTGAACTTGTATCCGCACTGGGAACAAAATCGTGCCGCCATTGGCGAAGGCCAACGGCACTGCGGGCAAGATGCACATCCGACTGGACCACTGGTCTGGCGTGCCACTTCTTCAGTCCTTGTCTTCTTCTTCACAGTGGTCACTGCATAGGTGAAGTGGATGGCGTTTCCACCTGACGGAGGATTGGAAGTGACGGTCTTCTTCTGGTGAGGCCTGTCTTTGCCACTCACAACATTTGGACACTGTGGGTCTCCACGCCAATGCCCCTTTTGACCGCAGCTGGCACAATGGGAAGCTTGCTTCTTCTGAGCCACCGACGGCGGAATGCCGGGACTTGAACGGTTGCTCCCTTGCGACCATCCTCGCCCCTTCCGCTTCTCATTCATCTTTGTCTTGGCCTTCCAGCCCGCTGCATACGCCTCCATGATCTGCTCCTCCATTTCTTCTGGATCATCTTCGTCCAGGCCTTCATCCAAGCCTTCCTCAATCGGTGGGAGTTCTTCAGGGTCTTCATTGGCTTGGTCTTCAATGAGCACTTCATTCAACATTTCCTCCGCCTCCAGGTCCTCATCATCTTCACCTTCTCCGTCTGGGTCTTCGCAGTCAGCCACAAATGACCTCTTGAAAGGTCGCTTCAACCCAATCTTCTTCTTGTCCTCACTTGGCCTGGGACGGAATGGTCTTGCACTTCTGCTTGGAGTCGGGAGACGGCGTTCATCTTCATGAGTATTGGCACACCGATGTCTCAAAGCACGCTCTATGCCGACTGGATCGTACTGGCCGCCAGCCGAGAAGAAAACATCAAGCCTCTCCCTCCGTGACAACGAACAACGGTTCAGCAAACGTTGGGCCCATGCTCTTGTAGAAATCTGCGTCTCTGGGTCCACACGTTGATACTGAGCCTTGAGCCTTTTCATCTGTCCGATGTAGGCTGCCACCGGCTGGCCAGGAAGTCGACGGTAGGAAGCATACTCTTTCTCGGCTCTCTCGAAAAGCTCCTCCTCCGACTCACCAAAAGCCTCGTCGAGAAGCCTCCAAACAAGTCGCAAGCCACCAGGCCGTGTGAACTCTGAGATCGGGGCCTGGTCCAGGCAATCTCTTGCCTCTCGCTTGGTGCTCAAGTACACCAACATCGCCAATTCCTCCTCCTCCAACCTATACAACTGCTGCTGGGCCTCTACAGCCTTCTTCCATTTCACATACTTGAACCTTTCACCTGAGAACTCTTCAATCTTCACGGAACCCAAGCTGCTCTTGGGTCGCTCCAACTGATGTTGAACCTTTCTCTTCAACATGCTTCTAATCGCTGACGTGTCTGCAGACGAGTCATCGTCCGTCAAACTAGAGTCCATCGAAGATGGGGGTGTCGAGCCACCACCACCGCCGGAACCCGGCGCACCACGCCCCACGCGAGTCTCGCCTGATGACTCTTCGGCTTTCTTCTTTTTCTTTCCATCTTCTGGCTTCCCTTCAGGCTTCGCTTTGGACTTTCCTTCAGATCCTGCGACCGGTGGCGGCGATGCAAACGGACTGAACCCGGGTGGTGGAGACGACATAGGCATGGTCATTCGTGGCATTCCATTCCACATCCATGGTGCCCATCCAAACTCCAGGGGATAGCAACCATAAACAGGAGGAGGAAAACCTGGGCATCCACATGAACATCCATGGGGCACAGGAGGATGGTGGTGAGGTATGCCGGGACCAAATGGAGCTGAAGGTGGACAACCGGAGAACCCTCCATGTGATAGCCCTGGTGGTCCATGAGCCCCAAAAGACATACCATCGCACCCGTGCAGGGTCCCATGAGGTGATGTACCGGAAGGAGTCAATGCGAACGGTCCGGAGGTAATCGGGAAAGAAGCCATATGCTCACCACACCCGCTCTTCGGCACAGTGGTTCCCGACGGTGCGTTCCACGGTTCGCCCGAAACACACTGCCAAGAGCTATTGCTCACTTGCGAAAAGGGAATGGTCTGAGGCACACAGCTGGCATGAACTGCATCTGAAAGAACCGGCAAGGTTGGGCCAGTCATCCCCTCCGGACTGGTCACTCCCTGCCCTTGTCCAACAAAATCATGAGCAGTTCCTCTCACAATGCGCTGAGGTCCATAGCTCTGCGGGGTTCCTCGCGGTCCCCCGGCCCATGGATCGTGCTGAGTCAATGGATCTGTCTGAAGCTCCGCAGGGTCAAACCTCTGGGGAGATTCTGAGGTCGCCATGCCGTCCGGCTAAAGCAAGCAGGCAGCCTAAAGCGAACTATGCCCCCAAAAAGGAAAAAGGGTATCACCAACCAAGAATCTCCAACTACCGCGGATTTAACCCCTCGGGCTCCGCTACCAATGTTTAACCAATCGAAAACGCTAGGACCAAGTAGCAAAATGCGAAAGCAACCACCCCAGTGAACAGGGTTTCCAAGAAAGCGGCACAAGCAAAAGCGAAGCAATGCAAAGCTGTTTTGCATACTCGAGTGACGTCACCTGCGGTCGACCGTTTCTAAGCTCGGTACAGCGATCTGTGCAATGCTAATGCAAAAAGACTGAAAGTTTCACAACAGGAGTCTGATGTTCCATTGTCTGCAATGCTGTTGGCAACCTGCACTGGATTTCACCGGGGTAAGAATGAGCAACATCCATCCATGGCCTTGGTGGCATGCTGGGCAGCCTTGGCATGAGGGCTGCAGCATCACGGGGCCTTTTTGGTGCCAGCCTGGGAGGTCTAAGCTATTTGTTCTATAAGCACACGGAATTGCAGGTGGGATTTGCAGGATGTACGTAAAGCTAGCAGCTAGAATTAGCTGGGTTGAGGAGGTTCTGAAAAAGGTTCCATGACAGACTTTAGTGCAGATTCAGGTTCTGCAAAAAGGTTCGGGCGGTGGCTTTGGACAAAGGTTTCCACCCATGTTCCTTCTGGTTGAGGCTGGTGTGAACACACATGGTCCAAGTTAGAGAAACAGTGTCACTTCGTAGACTACATGTTGTGTAAAAAGTATATCCCCTACTGGGTAGTCTTCCTTGTACTTTGGTGTGAGTGCTGTCGCCCCTGCGAACAAAACATTCGACGTACTGTAACTAAATGCAATGTGTCACACCTGCACGCAGTACGCCTGTTTGCTGTAGAAATGTGTTTTGTTCCACTTGACTCCCAAGTTGTTGAATTTGGTTCGGGGGCATGTCGTGCAATTCAACGAACAGAGCCTCGTGCCAGAGAAACACAAAGTATACTTTTGTGCTGTTTGGGGCTTTTTTTTGGTTTAGCTTTGCCTTTAAAGGGGCAAGATTTTGACAAGCAGACAGCAGGTATATACAGTAGTCTCCTGGTGCAGCAGCGTACGCTGCATTCGGTCGCAGTCACTTCACTCTTTCTCCAGCAGCCACATTACCGCCCAACCTTGGCTTCAAGTGTTTCTGTATATATATATATAGTTAACGACATTGGTACCGGAAGAATGACGCAACCCCTGCCTCAGGGCATTGTAGAGGCTGAGGAGGACAAGCTGGTGCGTGCTTTCCAAGTTTCTGTAGAATCAGACGAACCTCGGCGGCAGGCCTTTACCGCCTGCATGCAGCAATATGGCGCATGCGTTCTCCGAAATGCAGTGCCATTGCACAGCCACACCAAGCTGAAGAACCCCAAAGACAAAGTCACAGAGGTTCTTGAAGGTATCACTTTCAAAGGAAGGCCGTTGCTGGGCCCTTCGACACTTAGTCGCCAGAACATGCACACTTTTTTGATCTTTTTAGTTTTCCGCCAGAGACTCTGACTTGCCATACAGCTGCACCAACAATTGTTTTTTGAGCAGAAAGATCAACCATTTCAGCCTCCAGCCAGGAAATGCATCAACTTGGACGTTGCTGGAGCAGCCATTGGCTCGGCGTTGGCAATGCCTTTGCTAGTCCCAGGCTCTTTCCTTGCTGGTGCTCTGCTGGGGCACTCCTCTGGATATATTTTGTCCATGTTCCAATCCATGAAGCAGCCATCTGTCAGGGCTTTGCTTGAGACTGGGTGCTCCAGGAGTCTCAGCCTGAATCTGCGTGTGATATGATGCTAGTTGCTGGCTATACACTGGAGTAGTTGCAGAGCACCGGTTTTCGAAGTTGCCGCGGCATGGAGGATATGGGCGGTCCCACAGGCACCACACACATGCACACATACAATCACAACATACAACACCTTAACACATACAATTATACAATAATATATGTATACTGTATACTGTATACACATGCTTGCACACAACATACGTGTAGTGTTGTGTGTAATGCAATGTATGTACATTGTTACATAGTTATACTTTACAATGCAATGCCAACCTGCATACTCGTATGTCAAGCAACGTCGCGTATTTGCCCTCCATTACATTCTTCTTGCCATTCAGGATAGCTCAGACCTCCTCCGTTGGCCATCGATTTGATGCTGACGACTTAGCTAGCTGCTGGTCGCAGTCTGAAGCCTCAGAAGAACCCGGCCGGTCGTGTTTGTCACCAGATCCAGTTGATGCAACAAGTGGATCCAATTCAGCCTCCTCACAACCATCAGGCCGGTCATGGGGATCAGCTTTGTCTTTGATGCTGTTTGGTCCTTTGGCCATGTCCAAGCGATCAGACCCAAAGTCACTTGCAAAGCAAGAAGGCACTGAAGGCACCGAGAGGTCGATTTGGAACAGTTGGTGTTTTCATGACGCCGAGAAGCTCACCGAAGAAGGGGTTATGCCGGATGTGGCAGCGCTCATGCATGAAGTACATACTGCTTCATGGCAGACCCGGAGTGAAAGCAACGAATTGCTAGACACTGATGCTACCTGGCGTTTTCCAGACTTGGCCTCTCTTCAGAGTTTAGCGGGCACTTTTCTTTCAAGTGTGTAGATTGTTAGTTTAGCAATAAGGCATTTCGATTGATGAAGTGGAGGCCCTGTCACAGTAAAATGGTGCTCACCTAGTTTCCTTCACTGCAGATGCCTTTAAGGTCATGAGCATTGGAATCCTTCGTTCTGCAGAGAAGTTGTGGCTTCCAATCATCAGGGAGCATGTGAAGACAGTATCTGGGCAGGCAGGCACCAAACCTGAGGAGGTTGTTGTCCTCAAGCGTGCTTTCTTGGTTTGGGCTGATGCCAGCCACGAAGAAGAGAGTCCTTTGTGGCAGTCTTGGGCCTCATGGCCGTGGGCAGGGCAGGCAGCAACATCAGGTTTTTGCCAAAGCTCAAGCGATGGAGTCACCGTTCTCGTGCCTTTGATCGATATGAAGAACGGACACAGCACGCAGTTTGCAAGTGATGGGAGCCGTACGAGCCCAGAACGGGGTAGCTTGCTGGAATCTATGCTCACACTTTTGATTCTTTTGTTCCACTCATGCTCACCCCACAGTTCTTTGTCGCTCCACTTGTGACAAGCAATGCTTGTCATAACCATGATCCAAACACACATTGAGAGAGAGAGAGAGAAAGGTGCTGAGCTTCAACTCCTCCTTGGCTCGCACAACGGTTCGGAGAGTCTCAAGACCGGGGAGGTGGGGATGTGGAAACAGCAAGGCGATGCCCTACAGCATCTAGCATAGTTGGAAAAACCCACATGTGATTCTTCTGGTAAATTATTTCTATTCTAAAGCAGTGTAATTTTTGCAGTGCAACGGCAAGTAGTTGCATGATTCGTCATGATCATATATATATATATATACTGTATATATAATTGTTCTTCATTGGATACCGTACCCCGACTTCCATGTATGCCGCTATACTACCGGGGCAAACTTCCCAGGGTCATAGTCACACATGCACAGTTTTCCGGCAGGTTTTCCAGGTCAGTGTGCCGCTGCTGGCTGGGGACGCACTCATGGTGGACAACCGCTCCTGGCGCCGCTTCCGACACTCGAACGATCTCGAAAGGGCTGTTGCGGCGTCTCTTGCAGGGGATCGTGAGGGTGCCGGACTTTATCCTCCAGAATTCCCCTTTTTCTCAGACATCATTTCAAGTATTTGTGGTCTCTATACTTCCTTGACAGTGCATGCCAGGAATGCGGATTCTTGTTGCGGACCTTCATGCTCCGAAACTTGTTTGTCTTGTGGGGTGGTCACACAATTGATTACTGCTTGTGGCAGTGTTATGTCCCAAAGCCATATGTCAGATTTCATTAGTAAGTGCACCTAATCGCTATGTCCTTGCATGCTGTTCTGGCAACTTAGGAATGCACAACACAGCAACGGAAAGGGGTTTGTTCCTCGCCTATGACTACACAAGCCATGATTCCAAGGAGCTACCCACAAGTCAGAAAGACATTGCTTTCTGGTCTGCCGTGGCATGGCTGCTTCGCTTCAAGCAGGCTGTGCTTGCAGCAGGTTCCCTGCTACCGCAGAAGATTGTATAGCTAAGCATAGCTGAGCTGTCATTGCAATTGCCGCGTCCCCGTCTATAGCCGTTGAAAAGGGGATCGAGTGACAATCAAGATGGTGAAGACAATCATCTTGGCTCTCCTGGGTGCGATCCTGATCCCAAAGCCTACCAACGCTTCCATTTGGTGCCTCAGAACGTGCATGATGCTTGTGACCGTCACCAAGTTTCTTTGGCAGAGCCCAGATGTCGCAGGTGTTGTGCAACTTCAACTTGCGCAGGACTCCAGCAACCGATTCAGCCGCCATTTTGGAAAATGGGCGTCCACCTGCTGATCTCACGGTTGTACGTTCATGAACTTGCATAGTAGCCACACTTGCTGGCACGGTGGCTGGCCTGGGCACAACTCAACTCGGAGCGTTTGTTGCCACAGCGCTGAATTGCATGATTGGGGTCTAAAACAAGAGATGAAAAAAAGAAGGCAAGGGCTCCTTCACATTCTTTTCTTACATCTCTTTTTATAGGTCCTTTATGAATTCCCTACCATCCAATTCTTGGCATATCTTTCGAGAACTGGCGATTTGGAGGCCACTGAGCTAATGAGCTTGGCCGAATGGCACAAGATGTGCAAGGAACGGACTTCAGAGCTTCCCCTGCAGAACGTCGTTGCGGTCTAAGTGCGCCACCTGGCAGGATGATGCCCAGATGCTCCAGGCAGTGACAATTTGCTAACGTTCTGTTTTTGGACCATATAGTAGGAACATGTATCGACGACGGCAAAGGAACAAGACATGCATAATTAGCTGTGGAGGCAGCGGAAGACGCAATGGCCATCTACCGGCGCCAAAACAGTTTGCTTGGCCAGTGGTGGCCCGAGATAGCACTATGGCTTTTGTTTGCGTGGTGTCAAGCCAGAGAACCACAGGTCAAACGTCTTGAGAATTTTAGTCAAAGCTCACAGCCGTGGGCTAAGACTGTTGGGAACGTCAGCTTCAATCTTCAAGCCTTCGCACTTTGACTTGATCACATATACATATATATAATATACTGATATACTCTATTTTGCACTTGTTTGTATTCGTGCTTGTGTGCCTTTGGGTAGGCGTGGCCAGCTGAGGTTTGATCCAGGATGACCAGAAGGGCTTGGAGGTGGCTGAAGCTGCGCTGGTGCAGTGCGTACCTTACGGACTCTTCGGACTCGTTGGACCATTTGGAGGACATTGTTATATATAAACACACACACATATATATATATAGACTAACTATATTGCATTTCCTTATAGTATCAGTATCATTATGTGATATCATATTACATTAAATATTGTTTCGGGGAAGGGGGGTCAGCAGTGAGGTGAGAGTAACAGTAGGGCCTAAACAAGTGCTGTAAAGAGGAGGTATAACTCAGAGTAAACTTAAAATACTTGAGAAGCTAATTGCTACTGATCGGACGCAGAAGGGCTTAGGCTTCTTCAAGCAAGCTTACCCCGCCTCATAGCAGGGGCCGCTTCCTTGAAGAAGCCTGAGGCTTTTCTCAATTTTGTGGAGCATTAAGTTCTTTTGTTGTTTTGTTTGTGCATGCCAAGTGGGCAACCAAACAGCATGTGCTTTGCAGGTTCCGTGAGCAACACTACAAGCGTGGTGAGGTCAGTGAAAGTCACTTCCCACTCACTTGTGCAAGATAACTATCTATATATATCTAGGCACCCTGTCAACTTGTGAGTTTAAGTGGTGGAACTTGTTTTCAACTCAACTTCTGCCTTCATCAAGCGCCCAGCTAGTGTTTGAGGCAATTGCTTTGGACCAGATTGCCTCAGTGCTGTATAGCATGAGAAGGCCCATGGAGGCTCGACCTAGACACTGGTCTCAACCTAGAGGGGCTCCTGGCATCGCTACTAGGAGCAGGGACGCTAGGGGCTCCTGGCCTTACTACTAGGAGCAAGGACACTACTAGGAACCCGGGTGTCATGGGAATAACTCCAGGAACTGAAGACTTTGCATCTCACGGATGCTTCTACTTGATGTCTCCAGGCGCTGGAGCATGCTATCGAGGCATTGGATTTGATCAAATCCCTCGAGGCCAGGTTCAGAGTGTTCCAGTTTCCATGTTATCAAGAGTTGAGAGGATGGAGGTGTGAACACATACATAGGTAGGCATGGGAGAGCCTTCTGAGAATCTTTTAGCTTTTGCACCGAGAGGTGTGCACTAAAGCAAGCGGCTTGCGTTGACACGGCGTATGATGTATGAAATCCATCCACGTGCTGCTTTGATGTTAGCCCTCCCTGGCCTCTTCGCGGGGCCAACATTCAGGATTTACCCTGGGAAGCAATTATGCTTCATTCAGTAGCCAGAGCCCCAGAGAGCAAAAAGGTTAGTCTACGAGTCTACGAAGTCACCGTGGCTGTCAAGACTGCAGCAGGGCTCACACTGCATTTCATGGCCAGGCCGCTCTGCATTGCACTGTGAAGCATTTTCCGGAATCCTTGCAGGCAGCTCAGGAGGCCCAGCCAATTCAGGAAGACTTGTCCCAAACGTAAAGTTTACAGGACATGTCTCTTCAAGACTTTGCTACCAACGGCCAAGAATTCTGTTCAATAATGTTTTCTGGACATTTTGCGGGCACGACTTTGCGGGCAGGCCATTTGGATTCTGGAGGACATCGGTGACCGCAGTGGACAGGCTTTCAATTCTGGTGCTCGCACAGAAGCATGAAAGGTAATGCGTTTGTGTGCAAGGTGCCCCCGTCTTACAGGGGAATGTTGTTTGCGGGTTTTGCAGTTTTGTTGCCGGCTTGCAAGCCCCAGTCCTTTTTTCTTGCCCCCGTTCCCTTGAGGCCTATGTCCGCCTGAACACGGTGTTGCTGCGGCCCTATCTTGGCCACGGTATTGAACTGACGGAATAAACATTTGAGATTCAGCTCAGCCACTTGTCAAGTCACTCTGCGTGTTTCTTTCAGCAAGCTGCGACGCGCAAGACAGTTGTTTGATTCCCGAGCGCGTGATGTTGCATGTACTTCAAAGATCTAGTCTTGTCCTCCCGCAACGTGTGCCAGCTGCGTTGCTGAGGCAACATCATGTTGGCCATGCAGTAGATGCACGAAACACGCAGGCAAAACACAGATGCAAGCACCCTTCTCCTTCTGTCATGTTGGCACTGTGTCAGGACTAGCCAGCCTCCCAGGCTGACAGCAAGGAACCTCCTAAACTATACTTATATACATATAACATCATATACTATCCTCTCACACCAGTCATCACCCCAAAGCTTGTTGGATACTGGATACCATAATCCTTCAAATTCTTTGCTGTGGGTTCACAGCATCAAGCGAATCAATCCCAGCAATTTATTCTATGAGCAACCTCCAAGAGTGAGTAGCTGCGTAGCTCCTTGCCATGGCAAGCCCTGTGGATCCTAAGAGGAGGCCAACTTGGCAATGTCCAAGAAGCCTTTGACAGTCTTCCAGCAACCGCCTCCCGCTTCGGGCAACCAACTCTTGCAGATGAGGACGGCCTGTAGCCAGCGGTCAGAGAAACACATTTTATCATGTGAACATTAGTGCTTGAGCAAGTTTAGCCGGAAGCTGTACTGAAGCATACGGTTAATACGCACGGTCATGAACCTTCACACCCAACTTGGCCAGGGCAAAGGTTGCTCCGAAGAAGAAGCTGATGCCCAAGCCACCCAAGGCGTGAATCGAGATGGGTGTGTGTATTCCTGGGTGTTAGGCAATCAGGAACCCAGCCCACGCCCACCCCCAAAAAATACAGATCCATCAGGCACGGGAACAAAGTTCTGCAGACCCAGATGTCATAGGAGAGGGAGGACTGGGTGTCGCAGCAATAACAAAACTCGATTGCTGGGTGGACTTTGGAGGGGACTTGGAGAGCAATGACAAAACCATTGTTTTTCCCCAAACAGTTTACTGTTAGGGGTTCTCAATGCTTTAAAGAATGGTCGCCTTGGTGCTGGATGGTCTGGTCGGGTTCCCGGCCGGCTTGTCCCCCACTTCCTCATTTGCCTCCCAGTTCTTTTCATTTGTTTCCCAGGCTGGGTGATTGTGGTCGGGTTCCCGGCTGGCTTGTCTCCCACTTCCTTTCATTTGTCTCCCACTTCTTTTCATTTGTCTCCCACTTCTTTTCAATTGTCTCCCAGTTCTTTTCATTTGTCTCTCAGGCTGGGTGCTTGTGGTCAGGTTCCGGGCTGGCTTGTCTCCCACTTCCTTTCATTTGTCTCCCACTTCTTTTCATTTGTCTCCCACTTCTTTTCATTGTCTCCCAGGCTGGGTGCTTGTGGTCGGGTTCCCGGCCGGCTTGTCTCCCACTTCCTTTCATTTGTCTCCCTTCTCATTTGTCTCCCAGCCTGGGTGCTTGTGGTCGGGTTCCCGGCTGGCTTGTCTCCCACTTCCTTTCATTTCTATTCATTTGTTTTCCAGGTCTGTCACTGCTGGTGTCCACCCTTTTCCGCTGGCCATGCAGCTTTCTACACTGGTGCTGCCGCCCTTTTCCGCTGGCCATGTAGCATTTCTATTCATTTGTCTCCCATGCGACTTCTGTCTTTTTGCCTGGTGCCTGCGCTGCTGTTTTCTGCCGCGTGACTGTCTCCGGGAGTGCATTCCTGCCACACTGTGTAACTCTCTCAGCTTTGTTTTCCTTTTCGGGCAAGCGTTCCATGAATGACCGGATTGCATTTTGTGACAGTCTCAGGGCATGCGTCAGGCACCAAACATCAATTTCATGTCACATCCTTCGCTCCTCACGCTTTTATTTCTTGTCCTCACGCGGTCAGCTCCTTGCTGATTGAGCAGCATGACCAGCGTCATGTTCGCACTTGAAGAATAATTCCCCAAGAGGTTTACTGTCAGGGCTTCTCAATTCTTTCTTAAGATGTGTCCGCCCGCTCTGTACTGCTGTGTCCGTCTTTGCCTTGCAATCCTCTACACTCGTCTCCCAGCTCTGGGTTGCTGTGGCCGCCTCTGCCTTGCAGTCCTTTGTCTCCCAGCTCTGGACGTCGCAAGCTCTAGTTTCGATGTTGAAAAAAACAAACTGTTTGGGGTCTACGGTGGTGTAATTTTTCTTCATGTCGAGTGACAGGAAAACCCATACTTTCTTTGTGCAGGGTCCGCCTCCGGTTTCGCTGCTTCACAAGCAAAAGGACGAGCAGCTTGGTCATCACTATAAGCTGCAGTGATTCTTCAAGTTGTTACTATTTCGACAGAGGAAGGGCACCCGATCACAGGCATGTTACTGCAATCCTACGCACCAGAGCAGCTGACAGCTGAAACGAATGATGATAGTGATATATGTATGACTCGCACGACTCGTATGACATGTGATACGTGGTTTTGCTTGCGCGTGCCATGTACCATTTTAAGCTTTCAGGAACCAGCTCATGCTCCCGAAAGAAGAGCCACTGGACGTCCCTGATTCCGGGCTGGCATTGGTCACCCCGCCCCCACCGCCACCTGCGGCTGCTGCTGTGGCTCCCTCTGCCTCGAATGCTTGGCCTGGCAGCTGTCCAAAGAGTGCGGCCTTATTGTCAGGCAGGGAGTCGAGGTAGTTTGAATTTTGGAACGGCCAGAGACTGTCCCCGCAGGTGCCTTCGGTGGCTTTCCATCAGCAACTCCTCCAGCAGTGGTCCCGACTGTGGTGCCACCTCCCACGTTGACACCACTTCCCACAACTGTGGCTCCGCCTCTGGTATTGGCACCCGCCCCAGCCCATTCACCTCCTCAACCCATCAGCGCGCCTGCAGAGAAGACACCGCAAGCCGGTACCTCAGCCTTTGGAGCTGAGGGGGGGCTTGAAAGCTAAGAAATGCTGGGAAATGGAAGAAATGAATTGTACGACTTGAACATGTGTGATTTGAATAGGAGGCTGAACTGGAGCAGCTGGCCAGCCTGGTCAACGCCTTGAGGCATGAACAGTTTAATCACATCCATGTGACAACCTCGGAGCCAACATTGTTTGCTCATGCAAACTTCTCACGTGTTAAGCACGCGATGCAGGATAGAAAACACAGCTTTGAAGGAAGAACTCTTGGAGTGGAGGAAGGAACCTCGCTGCAAGCAGCCAACTTGAGATCCTGGAACACGCCACCCGCTTTTCATCAGATGTGGAAGGCTTTGCCTCCTCGCTGTCATTGGGCTCCCAGCCCCTTTCACAAGAGATACCCGGGTGTTTTTTGAGGTCTATTTCTTTAGCAAAGGGCCAAGGGCACATTTAGTTTTTTCAAGGTAAGGATTCTCATCTTCAAGGACTCACACTTTGTGCTCCCAGTACTCTTTCCAACTTGTCTCAATGCCTCTATTGTGGCTCCTTGACTTGTTTGGCATCCTCTTCTTCGTACTTCATTTCTTCTGCATTCCGACGCAAACATATGTTCCTCTTGCTCCGCTCAAGGCCCCAACTATTGTCAGACATTTTATGACTTCTCCAAGCCCTTCAAGTGCCTTTAGGCCATTTTGTTCCATCATCCTCTGTGCCGCTGTAGCTTGGGCATCTCATCCGAAGCTCTTTTCGACACCGCCATTTTCAGAACTAGACGCTTGTACAAGGCTAGGGAGGGAATTCAATTTAGTCGTGGGTTCCCTAGTGTACGGGGAGCCAGAGAAGCGTTATATAGTGAGCTCGACGTGCGGTATTCTATCCAAAGACAGCCAATACACTTTTCGGGAAGGCTTTGCGATGATGCTTGTTTGTCATGTCGGCGAGAGCGGTCGCAAGCCATTTTGAGTGGGTTGCATTGCATGCTGCACAAGCAGTTTATGTTGCTTTAGTCCTTTGCAGTTATTTCCAGCTGCTCCGTTCTGCACTTACTCACCTGCCCATAGCTAGCCTTCATTTCACTCCCGTGGGCCTTCCTTAGATTGTAATGCCTTTTAACTATATAAACAAGCAGTTGTATGTATACGTATGTTTTGTTGTTAGGTTGTAATATGTTATTGTGAAACGTCATCCATGGAAACATGTGGTGTTGATCCCGATCGAACCTCGGACGTGGGGCCCAAATCGTAGGGGCCGTGGTTCCACCTGTGGCTTTTTACCGCTTTCGCACGCCATGGAGAGAAAAGGCGCGTGAAGGCCCTACGGTGCCTAGGTTTGTCAGTGGTACCGCGGAGCCTGATCGACATCTTCCAGGTGACCGACGGCGGAGAAGATCATGGGAGACCAGGATCCCAGGGGCTTTGCGGCCGCGTCCACCGCGAGCGTGACTGGGGCGAGAATGGAAGGGATGTCGCGGGACCGCGGCCATGCACCGGGCTATGACGGGGAGAACCCCGAGGCCACGTTTCGGCAGTATGAGAAGCAGGTGGCCCTATGGGAGTTTGAAGCAGAGGTCGCAAAGGCCAAGAGGGGAGTGAAGTTGCTGAGGCAGTTGAGTGGGGTAGCTGCCCTGGCCGTCGACGACCTGCGAGTGGAGGACATCGCATGCAAGAATGGGGTCAAGAACGTGTTGAACAGGTTGAGAGAGTACTTTCTTCCCCATCTCGAGGTTTCATTACCTCGAGCCTTTGAGGCCGCTGTCTATGGAGCTCCACGAGGCCAGAAGGAGTCCTTTGCGGAGTACACGAAGAGGATGGAGCGAGCGTTCTTGAACCTGGCCACGGAGGGCCCGGTGGCAACTATGAGCCGGAAGAGAATGACTACCCGAACGGGTTCGACGAGGACGAGAACTTCATCTACCTGGCGGACGGCGATCTGGATGAGATCATGGACGAGCAGGACGTCATGAGTGCTCTGGCCGCCTACAACGACACTCGTCAAGCACTGAAGGACCAGCGACTCAGCCGTGGATACTACCCCGGCAAGGGCAAAGGCAAGATCAATGGCTTCCAAAAAGGAAAAGACAAGGGCAAGCGCCGGGTGCACTTGGAGCAACTCAAGCTCAGGACACGGTGCCGGAGGTGCTTGCAGATCGGCCATTGGGAGCGGGAGTGCCAAAACCCGCCAGCCTCACAGACCTCCAAGACGGAGAGTCGGGCCTTCTTCGTTGGACTACGCCCTGAGAGCAAGGATTTTTCCCAGCCTGCACAGAGCTTTTGGCTGAAGAAGTTTGTAAAGGATCAACGGGCCCGTGAAGACGAACCTGTCTTGGAGCCTGGAGTCGAATCCTCCGAGCGATACATGGAGCGAGCATGTATGGGCCGTGAGGAGGATCAGTTTTGTGGGATTACCACCAAAGCCATAGAAGGGGTAGTGGACACTGCGGCTGAGGGTGGCTTGGTTGGGCGGGCACCACTTGCTCGGTTGGAACAAGAGTTGGCCTGTCGTGGACTTCGCATCAAGTGGGTGCCCAAACAGTCCTCTGCCAAAGGTGTTGGGGGAAGCGCCGCGGTGGAGGGGGTGGCCCTAATTCCTATTGGAATTGGAGGTGTGAACGGCGTGCTAGAGACCACAGTGGTTCAGGGGGGATGCCCCACTGCTTCTTCCAGTTCGCCTTCTCAAAGCCTTGAACGTCGTGATCGATTTGATGAACATGAACATGAAGTTGCAAACCCACCGGATTTCCGTTCCTCTACATGAGATGCCTAGCGGACATGTCACGGTGAACGTGTTGTCATTTGCTGAGGGTCGGTTCGCTGTTCCGCCAGAAGCCGGTCGACAAGACGAGTTTGAGCTGGAGAATGCATGTTTCGCGATTTCAGCAATGCCGGCTCAACCAACCCGGTCTATGCAATTCGATCGTGTGCCCCAAGACGCCCATCGTCCACCAACATCCAATGGCGTCGCTGCTTCAGAAGGCAAAAGCATTGGTGGGCGCTACACCCTCTACGGATCCAACTCCAATGGAGGTGGGGCATCACGTGCCAAACCCGGACCCTCGCGTTCCGATCAGGAATTGGAGGGTGATCCTCGACAAGATAGGCATCCTGCTGGTTTTGGCCGCGCTGCAGGACGCTACGGAGGCTTGGTGCTTGGACTTGGTCTCGCCGCGGCAGGGACGAAAGTCCATGGAGACGCTCGAGGACTACTATGCGGAGGTGATCAGCTCGGCGATGCCACTGCGTCCCTTGCAGAGCAAGGAGGCTCCAACCACATCGGCAAGGGTGGTGGCAACGGTTCGAGCTCCTACATCGTATGCCGAGCGTGCCATTCCAGGTGGGCCCACGCCGAAAGAGCGGCAGACATTCGCAAGAAGCTGAAGGACGGCCCCTTGAGCACAAAGGCCCAGGCGAGCAAGAAGGACACAACTTCATCCGGGAATATGGCTCCGGCATCACCTACGAGACCAAGAACGCCTACCCGGAGCGAGGGTCCTATGAGCGAAGCCATGGGGATGACTCCACCAAGGGTGCCGGAGGAATCTCTCCTCCAGATCCGACAAGACCTTCGACAAGAGATGGACATGCGCGTGCAAATCATGGCACAACAGATGAGGCACGAGCAGGCTGCATCGACCATCCAGCTGTCGCAAATTACGACCACGCAGATGCAGCAAATGGCCGAGGAGATCAAGCGGGCAAACATGGCCAGCCACGAGAAGGACATTCGCCAAGAGAAGCTCATGCAGATGATCCTGCAAGCTCAGAACTCTCCGGAACGGGCGCAAGATCCAAGAGCCCGCTCGATGACGTCGCCTCCACCAAAGAATATCATGACCTGTCACTGTGGGAAGCCAGCCGAGGCCCTGGTGGTCAAGAAGGACGGTCCGAGAAAGGGGCGCATGTTCTGGAAGTGCGTGCGTGCGACCTCTTCGTGTGGATCGACGAGAAGGACCAGGAGGACATCGAGGATGCCAAGACCGCGGCTTCATCCTGAACCCAAGGCGGTCCAAGAGTCCAAGGCGGGAGGCCTCTGCGGCGCTGGCGCTGGCGGCATCGGTGCCTTGCACAAGCTGGTCGAAGGTGTCGGTCTCAAGCAGCAAGGAACCGGGGGAGGCTCCGATTCCAATCCCGGACGACTGAACGAGGATGAGGCTCAGGCGACAAGGGCGCAATGCGGAAGAGATCCGTACTTCCACGTGGAGAAGGTCTACTGGCTAAGGCAGCCGGGCGGCAACTGGTCAGAAGAAGAGGGCAAGATCCCGACGGAGGCTTCGGAGGTCTATGTCCAACTGAAGTCCAGCCGCCGAAAGAACTTCCAGGAGCACTGGGAGGAGAACAAATCAACCCAATTGAGTCGAAAGAACCGACAGATGCTCACCAAGGCGATGAAACAAGCCGAGGAGAAGTTCAAGAACCAGGACGGCGTGAGCATCAGCGAAGTCTACAGCCCACCTCGCATCGCACCTCATTTGGAGAAGCGGGGGTGGAGAGTTGGGAGCAGCTTCGATCTCTTGACGGGATGGGACTTGGCAGATCCCAAACAACGGCTCCAGATGTGGAGGGCCTTGAGAATCTTGAGAGAAGAGCGACCCCGGGTGATCATCGCATGCCCTCCTTGCACCGCGTTTAGCCAACTGCAGGCGATCAACTTCGGCCGCATGGACGCGGACAAGAAAATCCACATGCTACAGATCGGCCGAGAACATGTGGCAGTGCTTCGATGGCAACTGAGGAGGGGCGGTGCAGTGCTTTTCGAACACCCCGACGGAGCCAGCTCATGGCAGGACCCTGAACTCCAGTCTCTGGCGACTCACGCCGGAGTCCGGTCGGTGGTATGCGACCAATGCATGTTCGGGCTGAATGTGGACGGCACCGGCCTCAATCGGAAAAGAACGAGGTGGCTCTCCAACATGCCGCCCGTCTTGAAGGCCCTGGATGTCAAGTGTGACTCAAGCCACACGCACACCGTCCTGATGGGGGGAAAACCACGACTTGCTCAAGTATACCCTCAGAAACTATGCGAGGTGATCTCCAAAGCCATTGGGGAGTACCTGAACGGCAACGACCTGGGGTGCTACGTCATGGAGGACGAAGAGGAGGAGGATGCTGACGATGACGCGGCAGAAGTTCAAGAAGGAGCGGATGGAAACTATGAGCCAACAGAGGAGGAGAAGAGAGCAGTGATGAAGGTGCACAAAGCCGTTGGCCATCCACAGAACCGCGAGTTCGTGCGGTTCCTCCGAGCTGCCCGGGTACGTGGAGAGCTAGTGCAATGGGCAGCCAAAAGCCGTGCGACATCTGCCAAGCGAAGCAGCATCCAAAAGTTCCAAGGCCGACCGCGATCCCTCGGGCTTATCAGCCCAATCAAGTGTTGGGCATTGACCTCTTCTACGTTCCGGCACCTGGTGATGGTAAACAGACCAACCCCATCCTCAACATGCTCGACTGGGGAACAAACTACCAGATGTGCGAGGTCCTGGCTGGAAAGAATCCCACGGAAGTGTGGGAGGCATTCATGGGCACTTGGGCCAGAACCTTTGGCTACCCGGAAGTCATTACTTGTGACGCCGGCCGGGAATTCATGGGGGACTTCATCAAGAAGGCCGCAGCTGAGGGCATCGTGATCCACCAGATCGCAAGCAAGGCGCCCTGGCAACAAGGGAAGACGGAGCGCCATGGAGGACACTTCAAAGAACTCCTGGACAAGGCTCGAAGCGAGGTCGTGGTGCAGGACCGCGAAGATCTGAAGCGGCTCATGGCTGAAGTTGAGCAAGCAAAGAACCGGTACTCCAACCGGTCGGGCTTTTCTCCGGCGCAGAGGCAGATTGGACAATGGCCCACAATGCCAACACCCATCATGTCTGATGAGGCCATCGACCCGACCCTGCTGGATGGAGTGCTCACCGATGACATCGAGAAGCTGCACCATATGCGAAGGGCATTCTGCGAGTACAACGCTCGTACAACCTTCAAGAAGGCCCTGAGATCAAGACCCCGGGTTTGGACCGACTTCAAGGCTGGAGAGTACGTCTTTGTCTACCGCGTGCCCCGGCTGAAGAAGAGGAAGAGTGGCGGCCCGGTGGATGATGCCTTGACCTCGACCAAGGCCAGATGGGTGGGCCCGGGGGTTGTCATCGCTCCTGACGGAGCCAACCTATGGGTGTCCATGATGGGAGAACTATGGAAAGTGGCTCGAGAACAGTGTCGCCAGGCCACCACAGACGAGAAGGCGGGCATTGAGGCGGTCCTCCAGGAGTGTCAGGAGCTCATTGAGGAGTTCAAGCGTGGCTCTCATCGGACGGGATTCAAGGACATCACGCTAGAAGAACTTCCACCAGAAGAAGATGAAGGGCAAGAGGCGGCAGAGAGACCGCCAGCAAGAGCACCGCCCATCTTCGATGACGACGCGGAGGTGATAGAGTATGTCCCCGAATGGATGGACCCCGACAACGAAGAGGAGGTGGATGAGCAGCTGATGAAGAGGAGGAGGTCCATCAATGAGCCGGAACAAGAAGAAGCCCCATCTTCGAGGGCGAGCAGTGAAAGAGGAGTGCCTTCAGACATGCACAATCCAACATTTCCGGAGGGAGTTCCAGAGACACCGGCGCGAGCTTCCAATCCGAGACCTTCGACACCGTTGGATGCAACAAGTCTAGAAGTTCAAGAAGCTATGAGGATCTCGGAGGAGAACGCCAACCGGCTGGATGGGACACCAACTACCCCGGGAGGCCCAATCTATCGGTGGCAGGAGAGAAGCCGGCCGTCTGAAGGAAGCACACCCTACCTCATGGAGAAGGAATGGTTTCTGGCAGAGCGTGAATAGGCTCAGGAAGAAGAAGACCTACACCGAATCCGCCGGATTCAAGATCTTGCCGGGCGGCCCAAGGACAAGGACTACTGGACGGTCGATTGGGAAAAAGGTGAACTGATCCGGCATCACCGCCGGAGAAGAAAGGCCAAATTCGACCCCAGGTTCAATGGAGATGCACCGGTGCCTTGGAACCTGCTGAGCGACCAAAGAAAAACCACCAGGCAAGATGACAGCCTAGCTGAAGGTGAGAGGAAGGATGACTGGGCGAACCCGGAGGCGAAGAGCTATGACTCCTGGTGGAAGGGCTTCACCACGTTCTTCATCCGGGACATCGAGGAGGCCCGAACCTATGTGGCGGAGAAGAAAGGTCAAGATGAGGTCAACTTGAAGAAGGAGAGCCAGCAAGATCAAGAGGAATGGAAACTATCCGACCTGTCCGAATGGAACAAGGTCACCCAGAGTGGGGCTGTGGAGGTGCTGGACCTGGAGACGTCTCGGCGAGTGAGGAAGGAGCTCCAGGACGCCGGCCAAGAAGACAGAATCCTGCCGACGAAAATCGCCCGCAGGTACAAACCAGGCGAACAACCTGGAGAGCCCCCTACCAAGAAGTCACGACTGTGCATCAGGGGAGACTTGGACCCGGACATCATGGAGCTCGAACGATTTTCTCCCACCTTGAACACGGTGAATTTCAACGTGATGCTGCAGCTCGCCGCCAACGAGGGCATGAAGGCTACGGTGGGGGACCTAAAGAACGCTTTCTGCCAAAGCCAGCCTTTGAACCGGCCCAATGGGAGACTATACTTCCAACGGCCCAAGGAAGGAGTGGTCGGACTTCATCCGGAGCAGATTGTCCGAATCATCGCTGGTTGCTATGGACTGGTGGACGCTCCTCTGCATTGGCGTAAGTCGTTGACCGAGGACCTGCAGAAGCTGGGCTATGAGATGTCGGCGCTGGACCCTTGCGTCATGAAGCTGTATGACAAGACCAGGAAGAAGCTGTTGGGAGCGATCGCCATCGAGGTGGACGACCTCTTCACAGTCGGACACGAAGAACATCGCCGGAAGATGAGCGAACTCCAGCAGAAGTACAACTTCGGGAAGTATGTGAAGTTGATGGAAGAGAAGGACGGCTGCGCCTTTAATGGTCGACGAGTCCGTCAATTACCCGAAGGTGGCTTCCTCGTGGACATGCAGAAGTTCATCGAAGACCGACTGCGCCCAGTGGCACTGGAGAAAGGCCGCAAGGTGAACCGGAAGGCAAACGCCACCGAGAGCGAGGTGAGTGCTGCCCGGGCAACATGTGGCGCGCTGAACTGGCTGAGCCGAGAAGGCCGACCGGACGCCTCTGGACCTTCCAGTCTGGTGGCATCCAAGCTGTCGAAGCTCACGATCGAGGACATTGTGCAGTTGAACCAGGTAGTGGACGAGCTGAAGGAGACGGCAAGCTTGAGCCTTCAAATCCAGCCGCTACAGAAGATGCGGCTGAGCGTCGTGACTGACGCTTCTTTTGCGAACAATGGCTTCCATTCTCAAGGAGGTCATTTGGTGTTGGCACATGAGAACACCCTCCGCGACGGCGACTTGGTGGCCACGAACATTGTGGCCTGGAGAAGTGGGAAATTGCAGCGGGTGGTGAACTCCACCCTTGCAGCGGAGACGCAAAGCCTCTCACGAGGCCTAGCTGAGTTGCTTTGGATCATGGTGCTGATGCAGGAGCTGCAGGATGGCAACTTCAATGTGAAGTCATGGCGGGACCGCCTCGCCGGAGAAGAGCTGATGGCCATCAGCTCCGAGATGAGCGATGTGGGGTTGAAGGAGTCCCTTGCGGTGGTCGATGCGAAATCATTGTACGATCACCTCGCCAAGGACGGAACTGGAGGGCAAGATCGAAGAACCGCCATAGAGATCCAGATCATCAAGCAAGACCTCAAGCAGCTGGGCGGCTCAGTGAAGTGGGTAGATCACCTGGCAATGCCAGCAGACGGACTAACCAAGGTCCACGGATCGAACGTAGCTTTGCATGAGATGATCCGCAGCGGCTTGTTCAGCATTAGGCCCACGGAGGATCAGATGGCCCGGAGGGCTGAAGCTCGAAAGTCCGGCCAGAGCAGCTCACAGATCCGAAGGATCGGGATCAAAGAGAAAGTTGGGAGCTGTGAAACGTCATCCATGGAAACATGTGGTGTTGATCCCGATCGAACCTCGGACGTGGGGCCCAAATCGTAGGGGCCGTGGTTCCACCTGTGGCTTTTTACCGCTTTCGCACGCCATGGAGAGAAAAGGCGCGTGAAGGCCCTACGGTGCCTAGGTTTGTCAGTTATAATATAGATGTGCACTTATTGGCTATTAGCTGGCTCATTTGTCTTGGATGTGGCAGTTTCAGATACCTCTGGAAGTGTGTTTGCAGTTGAGGATGGTGCCAAAAGTCGGGAGGCAGAGCAAGCTTTAGAGCAAGCTCGTATTGTCACTTGCCATGGATTCTTGTGGTTGGAGGGGCGTGGAAACCGAATAGAATTGGTTTGCAGTTGCTGAGTGGGACCCAAGAGTAAGTTTGAACAGAGGCACAGCTGGAGGCGCAAGTCCATGCAGCACAGCAGGCCGAGGACCCGAAAAGGATACTGTAGCTTGTGAGGATACACGATACGGCAGTAACCGTAACCTATGGAAAGTGCTTGGTGCCGATGCGAGAGACCCTCCTGTTTGGGGTGCTCAAACATCCCTATTTGCCGCTTGGGCGGGGAGGTCTTGACGGCACAAGGCATCAATGGCTCATGTGCATTGTGTGACGGACGTTTTGGTATGTTTGTATAACAGCTCTTCGTGGGGTGACTGTTTTGGTCTGATCACTATACGTGCACTTTGGCTCAACTCTGGTGTGGGTCTCTTTAGGCACTTTAGCTCAACGTCTTCGTTGCAGGATTTGGTGCGGGACCAGCTCACAGACGTTGAGACGAAAACATTGCGGCTGCAAAGTGAGAACGAACTTGTAAAGGGCAGGTTGCAAAGACAAGAAGCTGAGGCGTCGTTTTGTTTATCTACCCGCATTTCAGCCACTGTTGGATCATTATTGGTGCAACATTCAATTTGTCCACATAGTTTGCCAACTGTCCATCATTCCCCTTTTTTGGCACGCTTGACTGGGTATGGCGTCTTAACACATTTAGCTTGGCTAGGCGAAGGCGGCGAAGACAGAAGTGGAGGCTCTGCAGAAACAGCTGTCAGAAGTGAAGACCCACAGCCCCGTGGCACCAGAAAGGTTGCTAGGAAGGGATGGAGAGTGAAGCGGGTCCAGCGAGGACACTACTAGGGGCTCCTGGCATCCCTTCGAGCAAGGACGCTACTAGGACCATAATCCCTCTAGTCATAACCACCCCAATTAGTTTGGTCCCCTCACATGTGGGAAAGACATGGAAAGACAGACCCGCCAGCCAATAAACTTGCCACAGGCCTCTACTTTTCGTTTCCAGTAAGCACATCCCAATCTTTCTCCTCCACCTTCCTAGCTTCTCCTGATCCTTCCTCATAGAGATCTCCACCACATAGGTCCTTGCCTTCATGTTCTTACGATTCTTTCCAATCCTCATCCTTCCTCATTTGCATCCTCATTTACTTTATGCTCATGCAGCACTCTCACTCCATCCCGTTCCAAGTTTGAAGAGAGATTTAGTCTATGGGAATGGAACCCGTTTTCATGAAGAGATCTATATAGTCTATGGGATCCCTCCTCATGAGGAGATTTAGTCTATGGGATGCCTCCTCACGGAGAGATTTAGTCTATGGGACCCATTCTCATGACGAGATTTAGTCTATGGGGCCTCTCCTGATTGACCACCCCCAATTAAAAGAAAAGACAGGAATCACCTTGAGGGGGGTTATTAATCCAGCGTCTGCATTATACAACCTTTGTTAATTCTTTGGTTGAACATATATATATATATAAATTTATGTGGTCAATCTTTACAATCAAGAATTGCGCTCACCAATAGGTGAATATGTGTTTTTCCCGTGCATGTGCACACAGCGGGCCAAACAGAAAGCCTAGGAGATCTCCTCAAGAAGGAGTTCGAGTCTTCCCGAAGCAAAACTTCACTTTTGCAAGAGGAGCTTGAGGCTTCAATGAAGGAGCTTGGAGATTGGAAGACAGAGCGCATGACGATCAAAAGGGAGGTGGAAGCTCTTAAGGCGGAGAATGCAGCCTTGGAGGCAAAACATGCAGAAGAGGACTGCTTCACCCACATTTGTGCTGAAACAAGTTCAAGTTTTTGCTTTTTCCACAAGCAGGTCATGGTCTTGGGAGACTGGACTTGCCTAGGATTCGCAGCGCTGGAGCAAGATAGAGAAGCTATTTGCAAGGCATCAAGCAGCCGTCAGGGTGCATTCTTTATCGCAATTGACCGCCCTGGAGAATTTCAAGAACCAGCTGAGGCGGGACCTAGGAATTGCGCAGCATTTGAGTTGGGCAATCCTGGAGCTCCTGCTGCAAGTCTTGCACTGCTCAGGACTGCTTCAGCCAATGAGGACATAGAGGTTGAGAACAGCGATGCTCTGACCCAGGCGAAGTATCCATCAGTTTTTTTTTCTCGCGTCATTGTCTCATTTCCTTTCGTTTATACCATTTGATTTATTGAATCTCACCTCTTCTTTTTTATCCTCATGCGTGCCTAGCCCGTGACAAGCCATGCGTTTAGTTAATTAAGTCGGGGGCACCAGATATGGGGTCAAAGCAATTGAGCAGCCTCTGCAGAGAAATCAGGGCCCATAGTGGCCTTTGTATCAAATTCAGTAAGCCACCAAATCACTAAGTCACTGAGTGCTCTTCTTGCCTTGTCACATTTTCCCACCTCTCTGGACCCAGCCTTCAGAATGTATCTCTAAGGGCATCTTTTTTTAGACCATTGGACAAGCAAGTTGCTCATTGGATAGCCAAGAATACACAAAAACTGATAGAAGCTTATTCGTGCCAGGTGCTCTCAGATCCTCAGATGACTCTGCTTTTGGAAAGCTTGGTGAGCTCCGCATCCGAAAAAGCTTTGCAAAGGCTGGCGAGCTCCGCAAATAACACAACTTTGCTGAAATCGCTTGTGCCTTGGTCAGCATTCAGCAAAAATCGCCCAGCGTCAGAAGACTGGCCTTGTACCAGTACTACAGGACATCGGCTGATGACTCCACAGATTGCTTCATTTTGTTCGGTGGGTGCAGACTTACAGACTTGCCAAGAGTGACCTCCCACAAGCATGGATGTGAAACATTCCTTGCGACGGCCAGGGTCAAGTCCGACTCAAGTCCATATGTACCTTAATGTCCTTTAATCAACATGTACAGGAGAAGGCAGTGGACACAACCACGCCCGCGCGGACACGCTTTGCCATGTCGCTCTGTACAGAAGGCGCAAAACAATACGCTTGGATGTTCACCTGCCGAAACTTGCATTTGTATTGAGGCCGCAGCATCCTCTCCCCGTTTGCATCTCACATTTTTCTCTGAATTTCACTCATGTTTGGGAAGTATGCCGAGGAGAACGTGCGGGAGATAGCCAAGTCCAAGGGCTGGGTACCTGAGAAGGATGGAGGCGGAGACGGCACCGCAACAGAAATAATTGAGGCATCGGAGAAGGAATCGGAGAAGGAATCTGAGAAAGAATCTGAGAAGGAGTCCGACAAGGAATCAGAGAAGGAGTCGGAGAAGCAAGCTGACAACGAGGCTGAGAGCAGTGGCGAAGAGAGTGCCAAGAAAGACGATTTGAAGAAAGGCCCCGGGTCATCCTTTGGAAGAAGTACTGTAGATATCGCAGAGTGTCTCCAGTCAAGACCCCATCCAAACCACCTTTGTTAGTTTTGCTTTGACACCTGCACTTCTAAATAGAAAAGCAACCAGTTGCGCAATGTGGAGATTTACCTTATTATTGTTTAAACGTGTGTTCTTTTTCAATCGTGAGTCATTTTTTCAGTTTTCCTATTATATTTTCTCAGATCTTCTCATGCTGTGAGAGGATGAGAGCGCCTGGCTCCGACACCCGGCCAGGTGGTGAAGGTGACCAGCAGGAAAAAGAGGCGAAGATGGCAAAGGCAAAAGAAGCCAAGGCAAGGCGGATATATGAATTTCTTGTAATTTGTTGGCTTGATTTGGCTTGTGGATTAAGCTGGATTAGGGGGGTCGTTTGTCACAAGCAGCAGGGGGGTTGTTTGGGCCTATCTACTGATAGGGCAAGAGAAGCAGTTCAAGCTCAAGGACAGCTTTGAATTTGCATTCGCCACAATTTTTGTTTGAAGAAGTGCCTAAAAACAAACAGCGATTAGAGGCTGATTCGCTTGTGCAATGCCTCCGTCTTCGGCTCTGAGGACCCACCGGAAACGCCCACATCGCAAGCGGCGGCGCAAGCGCAGTGTGAGTACCAGCAGTTTGTAGGACGGCTGTGAAGCGGTGAACATGCCTACATGTTTGACATCTCCAAATCAGGACCAGACTATATACTGTGTATATATAGAAATCAGCAAATCATTTTGGCAGACGACGCTGAAAGTGTTTTGCCCCATCTCCTCTCACATCTACATGGAAAAGCTGAGATCAGCCAGGAATCGGCCTATGCGCACCAAGCGCTGTTTCCGCGAATTGTTTGTCAATAGTATATTTAGATGTCTTTGATCCATGTGGCCCACAAAAGCGGCACGCCAACTGCCCACCAGAACCGGCCTTTGCAAAAAAATGGCTTGTGCTAGTAGATTGTACACTCATGATTTCCAAAGCAGTATATGCATTGTTCACAACTCAGAATGTTTCATGGACACCATGAGGCAAGTTCAGATGCAGCTCCAAGAGTACCAGGAGGCCTTTCTCTTCAGATGTTGGTCTAGGGTCTTGGAGCACAAACACGAGGTTTGCTAGTGTGGTGGGTCTTGGGGTAGCTCCAGGCTTTGGCAACTGCAGAACAGGCAGTAGCCATCTTCAGGGAAATCAAGGCTTGGCTTACTCATTTGTATTCAAGTCGGTTCAGGTGTCGGCATTTCTCCCAGAGCTTCTTACTTGGCTTCCAGGATCGACGTGGTGAAGCCACTGCCATGCGCCAAATCCTTCGAATATTTCAATGTTGAACATGGTGCCGGAAACCTTTTGTAGTCACATGTATATATGTATATATACAACATTATTAACAATATAATAGTATAACAGTATAACATAACATAGATAATAAGTAAAAACAAAATACATACATACATACATACATACCTACATACATTACATTACAATACATTACATTACATTACATTACATACATACATACATACATACATCCGTAGCCATTTTGGCTCAAGCCACGAGTGGTCCAAGCAGGCAGCCAAGGAAGACCTGCTAGTGAGGTACTCCCCTATCGAACATAGCGGGCAGAACCACATCGACCAGTTCTTTGAGCTCCTCGATTACCAAACACTCTTTGCTCGCAATAGCCGTGCTCACCAACCTCGCTTTTGAACTCACCCTTGGCACCAGATCTTAGAGCGGGCCCTGATCCCTGCCCTCAAGGTGTGTTATCTCAAGGCCCACTGAAGGTCTCGGCAAGTGACAAGCTACGCCCGGATACAAGATGCCGCAAATGTGGCAGTTGGTGGCCATCTACAAGAGCAGGCATTGGAAAAGGCAAGGGTCAAGGACGACCTCACCGCACCAGCAATGAAAGTTGGCAAGCGAGTCCAAACGAGCTCCTTGACAAGCCGCCAGGGCTACATCGCCTCAAGCCACTCAAGAAGAGCATGCCAAACCAGACAGCCAGTGAGCTCCTTGCCAGCACTTGGGAAGTCATTCCCACTGACATCCAGTCCAAGTTGCAAACCCTGGCCTTTGGCCCGCCACCACAAGAAGAACCAAGCCTGGAAGCAATCCTTCAGACCCACCTCAAGGAGCTTCCACAAGCCGTCCAAGATGTGGTCAACAAGATGCAGCAGCCCATCAAGGCCTTGGCTCAGAAACTCAAGACACAAGTTACTGAGCTCAAGACGATATCCATGAAGAAAGCGCAACTCCAAACACGACTGGATCAAGTCAAAAGCCAATATGCCAGCATGCTACAGGACATGCAAGGGCATCAAACAAAGCTCACAGAGGGTCAGAAGAAGCTCAAGACACTCTCAGAGCAATACATGCAGGCGGTCAACAAAACACCGCCACCGGCTGATCTGGACCTGCGGGACCCAGAACTTCCCATCCCCATGGCAGTTGAGACCTTCGTCACAAGTTTGGGCATTGAGTTGACTGCCGAGCAGCGCAACCAGCTCCACGGCCTCCTCAAGCGACCAGGGGCTGACGTGGATGATCCAAACAAGCGAAGGAAAACAGATGCACCAACTCCGCTGTCGGGAGAGGAGTGTGGGTAACACTACTCACAAAAAAGTCAAAAGTTACCCCGGAGTTGAGGTGCCAACACCCTGGGAAGAAGTTGATTGGGCACCAAAACATGGGGATTGCCGCGCTGCCTCAAACTCGGCGTATGGGGACAAACAGGTGACACAATGTGCAGGGGAACAGACACATTCACACCTGTCTCAAGCAGTACAAGCTCAGAACCCTTTTGGGGACTTCTCAAACAACTTGCAACATTTGAGATTCCACACAATCCTGACCTTCACAGGTTTGACCTTTTTGAAGATTTTACCTTACCGGCTTCGGTGCATGGGCAGCTGCTGGGTGCACCTGGACCAGAAGTGGTGAGCGTCCAAGGAGGAGGCAAACCAACTTCTCCTGGTGCGACCAAAACCAACCACGATGGCAAGATGGACCCATCGTATGCCTCCACAACTGAGTGCATCCTCCAGAATCTCACAATGGCTGTGGGAAATCCAAGTGCACGGTGTTTTGCCAACGCCCCATGGAGAGCGTTCACCTGGACGTGCGCCCTGTTACAGGAGACCAACACCCTCAGGGAAGCTGTTCAAGAGTCCTTGGAGCTCGCAGAGCCGGTTGATATCCAGCAACTCCCAGATTTGAAGCCACTGTGGAAGAAACACGATCTCAACATCGAAGGAGATGCCAACCACTTTGTCAACACATTGTGGAACTTGTCACAATCAAGGGCATTTCACTATCGATTTGCTGAGATCCAACCTGGTGGCTATCTCACAGACCACATCCAACAGCCCATCCTGGTCCCATATCCTGACAACTGGCCAGAGACCACAAGCCTTCAGGACCTCTTCAACGGGTGGGCGAACACAGGACTGGGGCAATACCTCATGGATGACAAGCCCGTGTTGGTGAGCCACAGAGCCGAACACCAAAGCATATACTATGGTTATGCAAATGGCACAAAACCCAGAAACATGACCCAATGCCGCCAGAGTGGATGAATCGCCTGACCAGCCAAGAAGAAGAACCCTTATGGGCACATGGTTGGATTCCTCGAGCCCAAGAAGCCCGTGCTCAGGTGCATCCCTACCAAGGACATGGATGCTGGGCAGGCTTGGAAGTCACCCCCCTCCAGCAACACAGTGGGCGGGCTTTCACACTGGATGCCACACCATCCACGTATGACCTCCGGAGTCAGATGTGGATCTTTGGCTTATGTGTTCATACCATGGCACTAGGGCAACTGAAAAGACTGGGCACAGCCTCTACGGGGAGCACCCGGAGCGGAAGTGATCTCCATTAAAGGAGGAGCCAAGCTGCCAGTGAAGAGTCCTGCACTAAACTTGACGAAGTTGAGGGTGCAGAGCACATATGCCTCAACAACAGAGTGCATACTACAGAACCTCTCCATGACTGTGGGGAATCCAAGCTCACGGTGCTTTGCAAACGCACCATGGCGAGTTTTTACATGGACGTGTGCGCTCCTCCAAGAAACGCGCACTGAACCCTGGGGCACTTTGCATGCAGCGGTTCAAGAATCTCTCGAACTGGCTGAAGCAGTAGACACCCAAGAACTACCAGGAATGCAAAGGTTATGGAAGAAGCACGATCTGAATGTACAAGGAGATGCAAATCATTTTGTGAACACTCTGTGGCACCTCTCACAAAGCAGAGCCTTCCACTATCGATACGCCGAGATCAAACCCGGGGGCTGCCTGGCCGACCATGTTCAGCTACCCCTCCTTGTGGACTATCCAGATGACTGGCCAGACAACACCATGCTGCAGACGCTGTTGAATGGATGGGCCAATGAAGGCTTGGGACAATACCTCATGGATGACAAGCCCATCCTGGTTACACACATCGCCAGGAACACCACCATCGACGGGGTTGCAACCAAGCGCAAGAAAGTACTGAATCCATATGGGACCTTCACTGTACCCAGATCACTGGACGGATTTGCAAGAGCCTCCACCGAATTTGTCCCGGCGGCCCTGATCTGCCATAGAGGACCCAATCATGAATCTGGCCACTATTTCGCGATCCTCATCTACAGGGATCTCATGTGGCTGGCAGACGATGGCAAACCTCCAATCCATCTGGCACACCTTACGCCACAGCCGGCCAGCCAGGTGACAAAAATCTGGGCAGTTCACATCGACGCGTTCAGAACTACCCAACAAGTCATCCAGATGCTTCCACCGGCAGAAGAACCAGATTTTGATCCACCACTTCACCCCAGTCCAGAGAAAAGACCTCGCCTCGAACAGGCTCACAACCAGTTGCACTATGCGAATGTCACCACCTTTGGAAGGCAAGTCATCGACTGGTACTGGACGAGGAAAAGTGAAGTATAGTGGCCTGCAGTCACTTAGAATATTACCTAATGCCCCCGGGGCATTAGGTCATTATTCTACATCTTTTTGGGGAAACACTTAGAATATTGGTTGGATAGGGTTGGATGAGAAGTTGAAGAAACACATGTCATGGGTGGGAAAAGGTAGCGCAGTGAATCTGAGGTATGCTGAATATTCTATCTGCTGGCTTCAAAAAACTGAACAATTCTATCTGTTGGCTTCTAAAAATTATTCTATGTGTTACCAATTCACCTTAATATTCTACCTGTCTGAAGTTCACTATATACATCTTTGTGGAAACACACCTGGAGCCACAAAAACATGAGCAGACCTGCCAATACTACGCGATCAGGGGACGAACTGCATTTGGAGTCCCTGCTTGGCCCAATGAAGACAACACAGACACCCATGGAGGCATCCTGATCTTGGGAGACCCATCCTGCGGGCTTACACCAGTTGAAGACTTCACAAACCAAGGGTGCGGACCGATACCAAGTATGGCAGGCCACGGAGCAAACAATTCTGGTAGCGGGTGTCTACCTTCGCCAATGAGAGCATCCAAAGTGAGACCAATGCCACAATCCTCGCCAGGCTCATGGCATTACTGCAAGCTACAAACCATCCCTACATCCTGATTGGGGATTGGCAAAACACACCAAGTGCTATCTCGAGTACAGTACTCCCGTCCAAGTTCCACTTTGACATCCTGGCACCTGACCAAAGTGTCCTCTCTGGCAATCAATGTCATTGACTATAGCTTGATCCACACCTCACTTTCCAGCACAACTGCTTTGACCACTGAGTGGGCTGTTCCCTGGAGACCGCATGCTCTGCTGACGCTACACCTGGACATTGAAGCAGCCACAAAAGAATACAGGCAGGTCCAATACTTTCCTGCACTCCCAGCCACCCCGGACATTGACTTCCGTCCATGACAAGGCACAACACTGGACGGATTGGATCTCCATCACTGAACAATATCTTCTACAAGAACATCCTTGGGCTGCCCAAGGACGCGGAGCAAATTTCAGGGTGATGATAAAACCCCTTGTTGCTCCAAAGCCAGGAGGCACTTGGAAAAAAGGAAAGGCTGCGTACTCGGAACAACTTCAAGCTCGCTTTAGACTGGCACTCCAGCAGCCACCCACTCAACCAGGAGGGCCCGCCAAAGGGTTCATGGCCGCCGTCAAGGACATCCAGTCCAAATGGCTTGGACCCCCAGTTGGGGCCAGTTCCTAGACACCTGCCACCACTGGCACCAGTACAGGGACAACCATGCAGCAGAGCTTCTCCAGCATACCATGCAACACCAGCTCCAGGAAGCGCAACAGGCAGCCAACGATGAAGCGCATCTCCAGTACAAAACATGGCTACAACAAGGACATGCAAAAGGGTTGAAAGGTCTCTTTCGAAGCCTCAAGA